GAAATCAAGCTTGGCCAACAAAGAGGCAGAAAATTGCAGTTGAGGCAGTCAAACATTGGTAAGTTTCTTTGTGAGCCAATCAAAATTAAGATCATTCATGAAATTAATTCGTGGCATATTCATAGAATAATTATTGGTAAAAAATCAGTAAGATTAACAACTTTCTGCCCCCCAGTGGCAAAGCGGTATGTCTGTTTTCAATTTTAGTGATGGTGGGTGCAAGGGGTTCCATGAGGGGAGGGGTGCCGTGAAACGTTATAAGTGTTGTGAGTGTTGGTATAATAAGCCTAAAGTAAAGATGTAGTGTGGGATCACCTAGCTTAGAGCCAAGTGCATAAAATTTATCATGAAAGTAAAAATATTGATTCAATTTTAAACTTAAATCATTTCTGAATTTTTTAATACTTTTTAAATATAAAACAAACCTCTTTAATCAATGGAGACTCTAAATTAAGAAATCAACAGATATTTTTCCATTTTTGTTGTCTATACATTTCATTTTATACTTTCAGTACATAGACTAACAACAATATTAGGTTATACTTTTGTTGCTAAGCAACATGACATAAAAGCCATTGTTGGAAGGTAGTGCTACCAAAATGCAATGGCTTTTTTATATATTAGAAGTTGTTAAGGTTTGTTTATTTGTTTATAATTAAGCACAAAGTTACACAATGGGCTATCTGTGCTCTGCCCACCACGGGTATCGAAACCCGGATTCTAGCATTGTAAGTCCTGAGCAGACAGTAATTGAACTATTTTATCTGGATAATTGCATTTTTGTTTTTATGACTCCTTCTATTTGAGAAATCAAGTGTGACATGCTGTGACACATTTTGGCTTTTATGTAGGTTAGATGATGTATGGTAATTGTATACTTAAAAATAACTCTTTTGTAGCATTTACAACAGTATTTGTGCTTTTAATATGATTCAAAATCCAAATATTTTATTGTCTTTATTTTTTTAGGTTCTAAAACTTTATGCATGGGAAACTCCTTTCATGAAACACATACTTCATATTAGAAGTCAAGAAATGGAGCTGATCAAAAAATTTTCGTATTTAAATGCTGGAATAGGATTTTTGTGGAACTGTTCGCCTTTCTTGGTAATATCATTTATTACTATTATATTGTCTTTTTTAAACATATCACCAAAGATGCTTATAGAACAATTAAGAAAATTATGTGACAATATCGTGCCAACATTTTTGAAGGGGTATTTTACAGGAATAAATAATGTGTGTTATCACTAATGTTGTAGATATGGTCATACATTTGGTAGCTTCCGGAAAAATATGCAAACATTGTATACATTGTTAATATGGTGGGATCTGTGTGCTCTAATGTATTTAAATCATGTATTTCATATGACTTATTGATGATTATTTCATGGTAAGACTTGTATCCCTTTCTATTTACAAGTAAGTACTCATTTACTTGTAGTATGATTTGAATTACTACTATTTTAATTCATGTTTTTTTTCTCAATAAGAAAAGCAAAATTAATAAATAAGTAGAAAAAGCAGTTGATCAAAAATATGTACACACTACTTTCAAATTTCAAAATTTAGTTTACCAGATTTTTTCACTGCAATCCTGTATGTCACTTATCTTTAGACTATTGTATTTCATAAGATGAACTTTCCATGGATAGGCACACCCATCGAGAATGTGAGCTGTACAAAATAAAAGGAAGGTAAATATCTCATGATGTACACTGATTTAAGATGATCAGAAACACAGAAACCTCACTGGAGTATAGTAAACTAAGAGTATAGTAAACCCTTTAAAAGTGTTCCCTTCAGGTCACAGTTGAGCTTGAAGCCTCCCACAAGCCAGGCAAGAGCTCTATTGACAGAGATAAAGGACTAACTTACTAGTATGACACTATTTAACAACTAAAACTACCAAAAAAAAGAATCTTTGGAATGATGAATTTTATTCAGGATGTTCCATTGGATAAAACAAACCTAGTGACAAATGAAAAGTATAAATGGAGAAGTTTGCAAAACTCTCTTCTCTGGCACAAAGCCTAGGCAAGGTGCAGAAGTACCATAAGGATAGACAGAACATGATGGTAAAGTACATGTACAAATTCACTAAATAAGTATCTGATGTACTTGTTTATAATTGTTTTTTTGTGTGGGAAAGTATTGTTACGTCTCCGTTTGTTAATTAACTTTCTGTAACTTCGTTCCGACGAAACTTTAGCGACACAAGTCCTTACTTAATAAAACTGGTTTATTCTTTCTGAATATAACTTCATGATACACTTATTTTCAATATTCGCGCTAAAACAAACACTATAACGAACGAACGTTAACTTCAACAATACGTCTCTCTCTGACTGCAGTTCAATTACTCATTACCTATACACACATTACCTTACCGTCACGTTGTCACCCTCTTTTATATACCAGACTACCCTATATCTAGTAAATACTAGAGCATTCACCAAAGTACAGGATAGTTCTAGAAAGTAGAGGGCGTGAGAATCACGTGATCTCGATGACGCAACAGTATACTTAGAATGTAGGAATTCCTTGAAAAATAAAAATGGTAATTTTTACAATCCAGTAGCAAAAGCAATATATTTTTAATTGCAGGCCTTTAGTAGAATATGGACATGAAAAGTGTAAACATATTCAGTAGATGACAAAAAAGATAAATTATAGGGGTTTAAACCTATGTATATGAACCATAAATCATTATATTGGGTAATACACATTAAATTATTGAGAAAATCATCTTCAAAGTTTTGTGATGATTAAAAATGTTTTAATTTGTTTCAGAACTTTAAAACAGGTTAATGAGTGCCTTTAGAATATAAAATAATACTTTTTTTTCCTGGTTTATTCACTACAAACTGTTGAACTGTGTAATAATCATATACCAGTGTGAATGTGTGTTTTATGTACAGCTAGCATTATTTACCTTTCTGACATATGTGTTGGTGGATGAAAGAAATATCTTGGACCCCAGTACAGCATTTGTTTCACTGACCCTCCTAAACATGCTTCGGTTCAGCTTAATCCTGCTGCCTGAACTCATTTCTAACATTATCCAGGTAACTAGAAATAGTGTGTAAAGCTGCCTCTCCATTTTTTAAATAATAAATTGAATTACATAATTGAAATGCTTTTATTGAAATAAAAGGTTTTGTTTCAGTGATACAGCACTTACTGTGCTTGGTTAACTCAAAATAAAGTTCAAACTTAACTATTTACTCTTCACTACTAGTTTATAAACAAAGAACCATAGATGAATAATGTTTGTGAATTTTTTGCCATTTGAAAAATTCAAAAGTTATTTGAGCAGATATAGTAACTATAATAAATAATACATATACATGTGCTTAAAGATTCATAAAACTATAATAAGGTAATTAGTTTTAACTTTGAAGAAATTTCACATGCTATATGAATCTTGTCTTAATTGTACTTAAATAGGAGGCTTATGAGCAATAATAATTTGTGCAAGTCAAATAAATGTATATCATTAAAAAGTGCATAACACTATGCTTAATACAATACAAACAATTAAATTATGGTTAAATTAAAATATGGTTTCCTTTCTATAATTAAATGACTCAATTGACACTATGCTATCAAGTCAATTCGAGTACTGCAAAAAGTTACTATTTCTCCAGTGAATCATGATAAATAGTGATGAAAAGTTGTCTATCTTTGCTATTTTATGTGAATAAATGGATGAACTTGCATATCTGTTATTTAAAATTTCTAATATATTTGATATAGGTTTTGTTGCTAAGTCAGGGTGAGTCTCAAGGTGAAGAATCTTTTATCCAGTTTTATTATCCTACTATGAAGTATTTTAAACAAGTAAAAACAGAGATCAAGCAGGATTTGCAAAGCAGCTTTTCTTACCAACTAAGCAAATAACTCAAATGTTACAAGCTTCGATCTATATTAAGACATAGATTTGCTGTATAATCAAATGATCACTAATGCTTGTTCCTCTTGGTCTTAATAGTTTAGGTGGTTAGAAAACCTCTCCAGTAAGCATAAAAGTTTCATTTTCACTTTATTTTAGCTTTCACTTCTTCAGAAAATTTACAAAACTTATTTATGCAAAGTACATCATATAACAGTTCAGAAATTATAGTCTAAGGCAATCCAATAATAATGGTATTACATGGATTCCTAGCTTAAAATGATGAGCTTAGCTTAAACATTGTGCCAAGTTTTGTGTTAATGAAGTAGTTGGTTAAAGTACCTGCTTAGCGAACAGGTGCACATGTTAAGTCTGTTCAGTCTCAGTCCTCACTTTAGACAAGAAAGAGATGGAAGATTGTGTTTCTTTTAATTTAGTTGTATTTATTAACTTGCATGGTTAGAAAAATGTTAAACAGATTTGTTAAGTTAAGCTAGAGAGATGTCTCATATCAGATATTTTGAACATTTTTATCTAACTAAAATATGTGAAAATCAAAAGATCTAACTGTCAGAATGTTTTGTTTTTTTTTCTTATAGACAAGAGTTTCTTTAGAACGAATGAACAAGTACTTATTGTCAGAAGAATTAGATACTGATTGTGTGGGTGATTTGGTTAAATATGGTAAGTCTTGTTGATAAAGAAACATTTTAAAATCAAGCAGTTATCTTAATTTAAAATTTTGGGTGACTGAAAAACCCAAATCATCTTTTCATATACTCGTTAAATTCTATAAACAAATAGTTAGCTTATACATTTCATGGTTCAATTCTTTCTGCTAATTTTATTCATCTATAAAACTTTAGTTTCAAATAATAAAAATAAAAATTTTCTGTTAATGAATTTTGTTTTCAAATCACAATTAAAACATCAATGTTTTTTGCAAAGAACATACTGAAGCTACTTGATGATGTATTTTCGCAATTTCTAACTTTGTCAGTTAATATAGAAAGGAAAATATTTTTTAAAGATGCTTTATATAAATAATAACTTAAAGATACTCACTTCTTGGAGTATTTAGTAATACTGCTTTGTACTTTGTATATTGAAGCTTTTATTCTTAGTGACAACTGTGTCACTGAATTTTACTTGTTAGGACTATAACTGTTAGGAAGGTTATGTTATACAGTAACTGTTTTATGTATCAAAAGGGTGAAACTCATCAACCAATTCCCATATGAAGCTAAAAATTATATACAGTAAAATATGGAAACTCATTCATGTATGTGTTTATGCCAATATGCAATGAATATAAGTCTTCCCTGTAGGTCTTAACCAAACATCATTACTTGATTTTATATATATATATATATACAAGCAAAAGTACCCACTCCCAGTTTAAGTTAATCTATCAATCTAAATTATTTTATGGACTTTAACAAGGTTAATTGTGTTGCACTCTTGGTTTCACTCAGAACCAAAGCTCTGAGCTACATATACTGCCCATCACGAAAAGTAATTGTTGATCATTTCAGTCAATCATTTCAGTCATGCTGTGAGCCACTCACCAATAACATATGGTAAATCTACATTTTTATTCTTTAAGTTACGTCACATTTTGAAATATGAATGATAGTATAATTAATTCCTAACAATTTAGTGTAGAATATCCTGCTTGTGAAATAAAATTTGGCATCAACATTATTCATGCCTATTCTCCCATCATTTCAAAAGTGAATGTTGAGTGCGCAGCTTTGCAAACAGGAGACAGGCAAATGCTCAGACAGATACCACAGTTCCCAATATATATAAAATATCAGTTCTTAACATGGCAACATGTGTATATTTCAAAAACACCATGTCATCTTCAGTTTTCACTCATCTTTAAAAAACATGCTTAGAAAGGTTAAAATAAAGAATTTCTAACAATTACTTACAAAATGGTAATTGTACAATTTAATATTCTTTATTATAAATCCCTACATTAGCATAAATTATGTTAAGCCATTAAACACATGTCAGAAACATACCAGACTTAGAGGTCTGATATTGGTTACACTTCAAAATAGTATTCTGTTCATAAATTAATGCATGGGTTAGTATGAGAACGAGTAAGAAAGCTTTCAAGAAATATTATTGCTAAGCATGCTACATCAGTCTTTTACAGCCTGTCAAATACTGCCACAACTACAAATTAAATAAATATACTGTATTTGTAACTGGTTTCAATCAGATACATATATGTGACAAGCACACACATGACTTATCACAGATGGGATAACCAATGGGAAACAAAGTAAAGGTTCAAATTGAATATATATATACATACATACAATTTTGAAATGAAATCATTTAATATTTTTTATAGAAAATGAAAAGGTTGAGAGCATTTAAAAGATTAACCTATGCAGATTACTTTTGTGATTTAATGTTTGGCTTATTAATAATTTCATAAGTATTTACAAAGAATATTTCATTCATCATATCTATTTAAAGAGAAGATAACATTTCTGTGTCTATGTAGAAGTTTTCAAAGTTGTGATGTACATCTCCCCAAGTAAGGCAGACAACAGTGATGACTTCCCAGCACCTACTTGACCAACAACTGCCACAAGCTGTCCTTTTTTAACATTTAGTCTAACATTTTTTAAAATTGGCTCACCATCTCTTTCCCAGCTAAATGATCCATTGTCAACAGTAATGGATTCCCCTGTTTTAGAATACATACAGAGTTTAGTTCAAGAGTTAAGATACAAATTAATGTGAAAGCAATTAGAGAACAAATAAGTTAACCTATCTCTTGTTGACATTGTATTTTGTATTATAATAAGTACTTAGCTTTGAAATGTACTACATGTGTTAAGTCAGCTTGCAAGAATAATAAAATTAAGTTAACTGGATCTGTTAATGTTCAAGTTAGTTATCATATTTATTATTATTATACATTTATAGTTTTGATAATTATACTTTTTAACTGTTTATCATTATTTGAAATTAAAATTTATTAGGTATGTAGAAGTTCTAACATCACGATTAGTAACTAAGCTTTTATACTGGTTCTATAGTTATTTGAAGTTTGTGAGGAAAACTTGAAGCAGTAACTCACAAAACATGATAATTTACCTATTAAGTCATTATGTAATATAATTGTTTTGTTCTGCTTGTGTATAAAAATGATGCAAAAAGTACAGTAAAATGTCACAATCTGAGCAGATTTACAAATTATGAAAGTTTATAAACTTGAAGTGATACATCTCAGAATTCTTCTGGAATGAATATTCACCTGCACACACAGTTTAACTGTCTTCCTTAGCTCTTCTGCACATTCTACAAAAGAGAGTTGAATTCCACTAGCCTTGTGAAAACTCCTACCTAATTTGAAGTGAATTTGCACCATTGCATGATGAAGTCATAATGCAGCAAAACTCCTCCACCAATAGGAGGGCAACACATGCACACTAACTCTTCCTGTGCATTTGCACTCATGAGTCTTCATTCTTTTTTGGCACTGTATTGAGCAAATATGTTTAAATTTCCCATATGTGTTAAATTTGATGAGATTCACTTCTTTAACAAATCTTTGATTTTTATTCTCTTTAGCTTTTATTTAAAGAGCTATAATATTTTATCATGACTTCTCAAATAATGGTGTTTTATACTTAGTCCCAAGTGTGGGACACTGTTCACACTTAGGCTTTATTTCTGCTGAGGGTTTTAGAGGTCCATTAACTGTCAGCATCATGCAGCCATTGCTCAACGTGTTGTGGATTACAACATGCTTCATGAGCCTCCTCCTCCTATCTCATCAGCTGAATTTCTTTCTCCTCAATCGACAATGATTGATTAGACAAATTTCTTCACCTACTTTGCTTTGGTAGTACTCTAACATTCATTAAATCTTTCATTAACCTTTCCATTTCTTACTGGATTTCATTCTCAGGTCCCTTTCCTTCTCATTTGCCCTTGTTCTTAATTATTTTTTTGTTTTTCACTTTATGACTCAGTTTTTATGTTTATCTTTTTTCTCTTAGTTATTAGGATTTATACTGTTTACTTTCCCTATTAGCTCTTTTCTCACAACAAATACCTCATTCCCTCACATTTGTGGCCACTTTCGTCAAGATTTGTCGACATTATTCCTTTCCTTTTCCCAGTTACTTGTCATCTATCTGACCAACTTAGGGATCAGGACCCTTTCCTTCTTTTCCCCTTTATAGTTTCCTATTTTTGCATTTTTTGTCTTTTTCTCACTACCCTTCTGTATTCCCTCTTCTAAATCCACCTTTCATCTGTGCCCCTTCTTCATGCTTCTAACAGCTTCTGTGCATGTTAATTCCCTTCTTGGTTTAACCTGTTCCATTTCTTCTGCACTATCTTTCCATACTTTATTCCTCTGCAGTTTGGACTCATTGGGTTAGGTTACATTTCTCTTTACTGTACCATTTCCCTCTTCTTGTGTACACATGATTCATCTGACTCCCTTTCTTTGCCCAAATGTCTTCTTTGGTGTTCTTTTCCCTCTCATGGTCTAGTCTGATAATATATGGCTTCTGTCCACATTCTCTTTGCAGGTTTTAACCACCAGAAGTAAGATTGACAATATGAATAGAGAAAGGTACATGCAAAATCATACCTGTAGGATAGTCACTGGAGTGAAGAGGAGAAAAACAAGACTACTGATAGAGGTAAGACAAGAAAAGTAGGATGACTTGGATTCCAGAATGGAAGGGTGAGAAGAAGACTGATCTAGACAAGGAATTTGAGTAAAGGGCTAGGTCAAGAAAGCGGGTCTTGGTCATGCTCTACTCAATTTTTTCCATGCCCTTTCCTTGCTCTAATCATACTTGTGGCTCATGTTTCAGGGCCTTTTTGTTTTCAGGTTCTAACTGTATACTTCTGTGCCCATTGACATCCTTTGCTGGAAGCTTCCTTCTTGTTGGCAAATCACCTCTCTCAGCCATTTCATATTCTCTCAACAGAGTTGCCTTTTCACACCCAGATCTTCTGTAGGATTTAAACTTGGTTGGACACATCCATCTTGGACATTTTGTCACCCTTCTCTACTGCAGGCTTCCTCTCTTACAGTCTTCTATTGCTCTTCCTTTGGTTCTAGCTGTCATTTTTCTCAGCCGTGCCTGATCTTACTTGTTTTTCTTTACCAGCTCTCTTATTCATCTCATCCTTCTGGATCTTGGATTTACACACTACTATTACTATCCTTCTTGGGCCTTCTTATTTGTGCCTCTCTGACTGCCTTGGCCTTGATACACTTGTTAAGTGGACTTCCCTTCCTCCATCATTATCCCCTCCCCTTCTTGATTTGCATTCCTTCAATTTCCTCTTACACTGAGGGTTATTCTTCCTCCACCTTCACATATGGAATTTGTCAGGTCTATCACCAATCAGAATAGACTTTCCTCTACTGTGGTATTATTCTTGTCACATTCTTCTCGTCCTTTCACTGAATTTGTCTTTTGTCATCTGTGACAGGTTTTTTTGTCATTGATTCTTCTGCCACCAATTACTTCCAGGCAGTAATTATGTGCACCACTATTCTACCTTTCTTACCAGCTTGCTCATCAAAGGATTCTTGGCCTCGGCTTTTGGATGAGCTTTTCCAGGTGGGCATATGGACTCTCTTTATACATCCATCTCTATAACCTCTGGCTGTTTTCTCTCCTAATGATTTTCAGCTTCTGGGTCGACATTCTTCAATTGCTTCACATTCTTTGAGTAGAATGTGCACCATTTTCCTTTCAGGACCTCTCTTTCATTGAGTAGGATACCACTAGGCACTTAGTGTTACCTCCCAGAAAACCTTACCGAAAACCTGCATCTAGCCAAAATAACAGAAAGTGCTCATCCCATCCATCCTGGTTCTTCACATGCTCGCTGTGAGATGGGGTGTTCTGAAACATCACATTTCTTTCCAATACAAGCCATACCTATTCCATAGACAATCATGGAAAAAGACAGCACCAGAGCAGTGTTTTTGCCCATTTCTCTGGCTTGTGCTTCCTGGCTTTTTAAAATAGAGTTTTCCAGTCACCTATTGCACTATCTCCAGTAAAACACCTTTTCAGACTGAAGAATCGATGGGGATCTGGGCACATTCTCCAGGTCTCTCCTATGCATATCTCTCCTTGTCAAGTGGAGTACAGGAGGCTCTTGTCATTTACAAGTTCCTAGCTGTTTAGATGGTGGACTATGGAGAATTCTCACGACCTAGGACTTAACTGCTGGAGCTAGAACAAGGGATCCCATTATGGTGGAAAGTGGAACTTTGGTGACACTGAGAGTGTAGTGAGGTTCACCCACATATATATCTGTGATACATTATAAATCACATACGGACCAATGATACAACTCACTATACCAATCCATTCAATACCTATATTTCTCATGTCCTCCTGCAACCAGTGTCTGTTTAGTAGAGTGAAGGTGAACACTATTATCTGTTTGTACTACATCTCAAATATACCTTGCTCCCACAGCTGGCAAGAGGCCTATAGAGACTGGTACTTGAGTAGAGATGTATATGAATATATGTACTTTAAACAAAATCATACAGTTCCCTTCTCCCACAGCTGGTTTTGACCTGTCGAGTCTGATGGAAGAAGAGGTGAGCACACAAGGTATGGTTTGAAGCAGACTCAACCTCACTTCATGTATTGGCTGTCTGACATCTTGTGTGCAATTCTGTCTGTCTAAGTGATACAAATCTGACTTATTTGACACCCATCTTCCCTATATAGGCAAAGAGTGTATACCCTGGATGAGATGAGATGTGGTCTGCCACAAGTGTACGCCTATGGAGCCCCTGTCATCAGGTGTCAGACCCCATGGGCTTCCTTCAGATGCTTTCTGAAGAGGGCTTATCTTTATAATCTTTGCACCAGTCCCTCCAACATCAATATGGGATTCTAGCTAAACTGTGTGAAAATGTGAGTATTTGTTATGAAAGTTAAAATTTTCTTTACCTGAAATGTATTTCTGATAGATACTCACCTCCACACATACATTCCTACACATCCCTTATAAACACACACTTTAGCTACCTTCCTCAGGTCTTCCACACATTCTGCCAAAGAGATTTGCATGCTACTAGCAATGTGAAAACTCCCACCTAATTCCACATGATTGCACCACAGCATGATGAGGCCATCATGCAGCAACATCCCTCCACCAATAGGAGGGCAACACACCTTCATATATACACTACCCCCCCCTGCACTTGTAAATCTTCATTATTTGACGAGGCAAGTAAGAAATGTGCACTAAAAGTGGGGACTTCTTCAGATATTGTCAAATAACACAAATTAAATAAATGAGAATTAAACTGCAGCTTAATGCCAGAGTTCATTTCCAAAATGGCCTTTGAATGATGGTATATAATGTTTAAGATATTCTGTAAAAAATGTCTTGAAGTAAAACTGATAACATACGTAGAAAGATCATAAGTTAAACTTTTTCTTATCTAAAAATGTATTTCTGATAGATACTGAAGAAGATTTTTGCAGGTGAAAAGTAACAGATTTGACAAATTCCTGATTAAAAGTACATGCTGTATATTATATATAACTTGATAACTGGCAGATATACAACCTAATTCCTTTCCAATGTTTAGTACATTCTCTATCAGAGTTATAGGAAATTCATTTGTGCTCTTTGGTAATGGGTACAAAGGTGCAGAATAACCTTAAATGTGTAATACCAAAAATTAATTTTCTTCAGTTTTATTTTCTACAGAACACTTAAAAAAACATCCAAATATATTCATTCATACACATACTATACTATATGACTTCACCAAAACCAGGAATCGTCTCTCAAAATAAGAGCATTTAATATCCCAGAGTTCCATTATCACTTCATGATGGTAACAACAATTATATAAAATTATTATGATGTATTTTGAACTTACAACATTGTGCAACAATAACTTTATAATGAGAACTTTGTTAGGAAAGATAATTATAAATTGCTTCAAATCATATTTTTTCATGTAAAAATTCAAAAATAAACTACAAGGACATCCATTCCTTGTTCATGATCATTTCCTATCCAGCATACTTTGCAAGAGAATTAATGCACCTGACAGATAGATAAATCTAATCAAAAATATGTACAAGATGTCATTACACTGTGAAATAAGTGAGCTTTAGGGAAGAGGGGTTTGCTCTAAAGTGATTTAAATCAACTTTTCAATAAACATAAAGTGAATTACTGCATCCAGTGTGTTCCACTGTGATGGGAACTTCCTGTGATATTATTTGAACATTGTTCCATTTACAAACCACTGAAAAATATCTGGCACAATTCTGCTTAGTTTTAAGCCTATATACACTGGAATCTTGAACACTGGGCCAGATGCTTGTGCTGTGATAACAGTCATCTGATTCAATTTTGAAATGAAGAGTTAGTATGGATTTTGAGGTGGGCAGGTGAAAAATTCAATGTGATAGCATTATGTGAGTCTTGTAAGACTGTAGTTGGGGTATTATGGCCTGGGTTATAACCTTATCATTGGGCCTGAAACGTACATATGAAGTATCTGTTTTTACAAATATCCTTGGATATCACGAAATCTTAAATGAACATGTTCCAAGGTTCTTTGCTTAGTTTTTCAGTAAGTATACTAATGTTTTGTGTAAGCAGAACAACACTCGCTGAAGCAAGGCACTTGCAAATAAACTATACCTGGTGTTAAAATAATAATATCACAGTTTTTGAAGGGCCTTCCCAGAACTACCTTGTGATCATTTAGGGGGGTTATTAAAAATTAACATTTATTTGTTAGGTATTTAAAACAACAATAAAAACAAGTTGCACCAGATTCCTGTTAGAACCCAGTTGAGAGCTTGCCTTACATATTGCAACACCATATTAATACAGTAACCATGAAGATCTTACCTGTAACGATATATCCAACTTCTTATAACAAGTAGTAACCTAATCGAACAATGCCATAATTTTTTCTTTGTGGTTAATGTACATATTTCTAGTTGTTATATATTTAATATTAAATTTCAAAAATAAATAAATGAAAATATAAATTTTTTGTGCAATTACTGTAAATGTATGATCAAAGTATTTCAATACATTATATATGTATTATGGTTTTAGCAATCATGTTTTTATTATTAGATAACTTGGGAAAAAAAAGCTATCTGTCTGATCATTACTATTATACATCCTGTTTGTCTCAAGTACTTGCAGTAAAGTTTATGTTAATTACAGAACTGATGTTAAATCAGTTTAATGGCCAAACTTAAATAGTATTTGGATTTTTCAAGGGTTCTTTAGCTTATGTTCCACAGCAAGCTTGGATTCAGAATACAACTGTACGGCAAAATATAATCATGAAGTCTGCCTTCAACAGCAAACAGTATCAGAGGTTGTTAGATGCATGTGCCTTAAGGACAGACTTGACCATTTTGACTGGTGGTGATTTTGCCGAAATTGGAGAAAAGGTGTGAATGTTTTTTAATATATATATTAAGAATTTAAAAAATGTAAATGCTTATCTTGTATCTTCAGCAGAAATGTAATCGTACAAAAAGAAATACCCGAATTATTTGCATTATTAACACAATAATGTCATGCCAATTAGTTGGCAATATATTTTTCAGAAACCAGAGTAGGCCATCTTAATTTTAAATGTAAAAGGTTGGTCTTGCTTTACTCTTCAGATATTAGTTTTTAAGTTAATCATATTATATTAATGATATTATTCACATTTTCATCATTTGTAACATTTAGTAAATGAAACGAGTTGAACATATGAAGATATTAAAAAATTATCATGTCATGTGTAAAATAGGGAGTGAATCTTAGTGGAGGACAGAAGCAGAGAATTAGCCTAGCTCGTGCTGTGTATCAAAATGCAGATGTTTATTTGATGGATGATCCTTTGAGTGCTGTAGATTCCAATGTTGCTAGACACATTTTTAAGTATGTTATTGGACCTGCAGGATTACTAAAAGACAAGGTAG